CCAAGTTCTACCCTGAAAAAAATCTATTAAAAATGTTAACTATCTCGGCTTTTTTAAATAAGCAATAAAATTTTGAGGAAATAATTACAAGAAACCATTTTTGAGAAAACAAAATACAAAATAAAATCTTTTGTCCATATGTAAAACAAAATAAACAAACGAGTCTAAACCAAAGAATACATATTCTATTCAGGCGAATCTATCCTAAAAATGTTGTCAGCATTAAATAACCCATTGAGGTTGATATGCCGTAAAACAAAAATAAACCAAACCAAACTAAACCAAAGAATACATATTCTATTCATACGAATCTATCCTAAAATGTTGTCGGCATTAAATAACCCATTGAGGTTGATATGCCGTAAAACAAAAATAAACCAAACGAATCTAAACCAAAGAATACATATTCTATTCATACGAATCTATCCTAAAAATGTTGTCGGCATTAAATAAGCCATTGAGGTTGATATGCCGTAAAACAAAATAAACCAAACCAATCTAAAGCAAAAGAATACATATTCTATTTACGAATCTATCCTAAAAATTTTGTCAGCATTAAATAACCCATTGAGGTTGATAGGCCGTAAAACAAATTAAACCAAACCAATCTAAAGCAAAGAATACATTTTCTATTCATACGAATCTATCCTAAAAATGTTGTCGGCATTAAATAACCCATTGAGGTTGATAGGCCGTAAAACAAAATAAACCAAACCAATCTAAAGCAAAGAATACATATTCTATTCATACGAATCTATCCTAAAAATGTTGTCAGCATTAAATAACCCATTGAGGTTGATATGACGTAAAAAAAAATAAACCAAACCAATCTAAAACCAAAGAATACATATTCTATTCATGAATCTATCCTAAACATGTTGTCAGCATTAAATAACCCATTGAGGTTGATATGCCGTAAAACAAAATAAACCAAACCAATCTAAACCAAAGAATACATATTCTATTCATACGAATCTATCCTAAAAATGTTGTCAGCATTAAATAACCCATTGAGGTTGATATGCCGTAAAACAAAATAAACCAAACCAATCTAAACCAAAGAATACATATTCTATTCATACGAATCTATCCTAAAAATGTTGTCAGCATTAAATAACCCATTGAGGTTGATATGCCGTAAAACAAAATAAACCAAACCAATCTAAAGCAAAGAATACATATTCTATTCATACGAATCTATCCTAAAAATGTTGTCAGCATTAAATAACCCATTGAGGTTGATATGCCGTAAAACAAAATAAACCAAACCAATCTAAAGCAAAGAATACATATTCTATTCATACGAATCTATCCTAAAAATGTTGTCAGCATTAAATAACCCATTGAGGTTGATATGCCCGTAAAACAAAAATAAACCAAACCAATCTAAACCAAAGAATACATATTCTATTCATACGAATCTATCCTAAAAATGTTGTCAGCATTAAATAACCCATTGAGGTTGATATGCCGTAAAACAAAATAAACCAAACCAATCTAAACCAAAGAATACATATTCTATTCATGAATCTATCCTAAAATGTTGTCAGCATTAAATAACCCATTGAGGGTTGATATGCCGTAAAAAAAATAAACCAAACCAATCTAAAGCAAAGAATACATATTCTATTCATAAGAATCTATCCTAAAATGTTGTCAGCATTAAATAACCCATTGAGGTTGATATGCCGTAAAACAAAATAAACCAAACCAATCTAAAGCAAAGAATACATATTCTATTCATACAAATCTATCCTAAAAAATGTTGTCAGCATTAAATAACCCATTGAGTTGATATGCCGTAAAACAAAATAAACCAAACCAATCTAAAGCAAAGAATACATATTCTATTCATACGAATCTATCCTAAAAATGTTGTCAGCATTAAATAACCCATTGAGGTTGATATGCCGTAAAACAAAATAAACCAAACCAATCTAAACCAAAGAATACATATTCTATTCATACGAATCTATCCTAAAAATGTTGTCAGCATTAAATAACCCATTGAGGTTGATATGCCGTAAAACAAAATAAACCAAACCAATCTAAACCAAAGAATACATATTCTATTCATACGAATCTATCCTAAAATGTTGTCAGCATTAAATAACCCATTGAGGTTGATATGCCGTAAAAAAAATAAACCAAACCAATCTAAAGCAAAGAATACATATTCTATTCATACGAATCTATCCTAAAAATGTTGTCAGCATTAAATAACCCATTGAGGTTGATATGCCGTAAAAAAAAATAAACCAAACCAATCTAAAGCAAAGAATACATATTCTATTCATACGAATCTATCCTAAAAATGTTGTCAGCATTAAATAACCCATTGAGGTTGATATGCCAAACCAAAAACAAAATAAACCAAACGAATGTAAACCAAAGAATACATATTCTATTCATACGAATCTATCCTAAAAATGTTGTCAGCATTAAATAACCCATTGAGGTTGATATGCCGTAAAACAAAATAAACCAAACCAATCTAAAGCAAAGAATACATATTCTATTCATACAAATCTATCCTAAAAATGTTGTCAGCATTAAATAACCCATTGAGTTGATATGCCGTAAAACAAAATAAACCAAACCAATCTAAAGCAAAGAATACATATTCTATTCATACGAATCTATCCTAAAAATGTTGTCAGCATTAAATAACCCATTGAGGTTGATATGCCGTAAAAAAAAATAAACCAAACCAATCTAAAGCAAAGAATACATATTCTATTCATACGAATCTATCCTAAAAATGTTGTCAGCATTAAATAACCCATTGAGGTTGATATGCCGTAAAACAAAATAAACCAAACCAATCTAAAGCAAAAGAATACATATTCTATTCATACGAATCTATCCTAAAATGTTGTCGGCATTAAATAACCCCATTGAGGTTGATATGCCGTAAAAAAAAAATAAACCAAACCAATCTAAAGCAAAGAATACATATTCTATTAATACGAATCTATCCTAAAAATGTTGTCAGCATTAAATAACCCATTGAGGTTGATATGCCGTAAAAAAAATAAACCAAACCAATCTAAAGCAAAGAATACATATTCTATTCATACAAGAATCTATCCTAAAAATGTTGTCAGCATTAAATAACCCATTGAGGTTGATATGCCGTAAAACAAAATAAACCAAACCAATCTAAAGCAAAGAATACATATTCTATTCATACGAATCTATCCTAAAAATGTTGTCAGCATTAAATAACCCATTGAGGTTGATATGCCGTAAAAAAAATGAAAGCAAACCAATCTAAAGCAAAGAATACATATTCTATTTATACGAATCTATCCTAAAAATGTTGTCGGCATTAAATAACCCATTGAGGTTGATATGCCGTAAAACAAAATAAACCAAACCAATCTAAACCAAAGAATACATATTCTATTCATACGAATCTATCCTAAAAATGTTGTCAGCATTAAATAACCCATTGAGGTTGATATGCCGTAAAACAAAATAAACCAAACCAATCTAAACCAAAGAATACATATTCTATTCATACGAATCTATCCTAAAAATGTTGTCAGCATTAAATAAGCCATTGAGGTTGATATGCCGTAAAACAAAATAAACCAAACCAATCTAAAGCAAAGAATACATATTCTATTCATACGAATCTATCCTAAAAATGTTGTCAGCATTAAATAACCCATTGAGGTTGATATGCCGTAAAACAAAATAAACCAAACCAATCTAAAGCAAAGAATACATATTCTATTCATACGAATCTATCCTAAAAATGTTGTCGTCATTAAATAACCCATTGAGGTTGATATGCCGTAAAACAAAATAAACCAAACCAATCTAAAGCAAAGAATACATATTCTATTCATACGAATCTATCCTAAAAATGTTGTCGTCATTAAATAACCCATTGAGGTTGATATGACGTAAAACAAAATAAACCAAACCAATCTAAAGCAAAGAATACATATTCTATTCATACGAATCTATCCTAAAAATGTTGTCAGCATTAAATAACCCATTGAGGTTGATATGCCGTAAAACAAAATAAACCAAACCAATCTAAAGCAAAGAATACATATTCTATTCATACGAATCTATCCAAAAAAAATGTTGTAAATCATTAAATAAACCCATTGAGGTTGATATGCCGTAAATAAAAATAAACCAAACCAATCTAAAGCAAAGAATACATATTCTATTCATACGAATCTATCCTAAAAATGTTGTCAGCATTAAATAACCCATTGAGGTTGATATGCCGTAAAACAAAATAAACCAAACCAATCTAAAGCAAAGAATACATATTCTATTCATACGAATCTATCCTAAAAATGTTGTCGGCATTAAATAACCCATTGAGGTTGATATGCCGTAAAACAAAAATAAACCAAACCAATCTAAAGCAAAGAATACATATTCTATTCATACGAATCTATCCTAAAAAATGTTGTCATTAAATAACCCATTGAGGTTGATATGCCGTAAAACAAAATAAACCAAACCAATCTAAACCAAAGAATACATATTCTATTCATACGAATCTATCTAAAAATGTTGTCAGCATTAAATAAACCCATTGAGTTGTTGATATGACGTAAAAAAACAAAATAAACCAAACCAATCTAAAGCAAAGAATACATATTCTATTCATACGAATCTATCCTAAAAATGTTGTCGGCATTAAATAACCCATTGAGGTTGATATGCCGTAAAACAAAACAAAGCAAATAAACCAATCACGCCTGTGTTTTTTTCTTTTTTCTTTTTCTTTTTCTCCTTAAAATGTTTTCTTTTCATCAAATCTCTCTCATAAATATTCTTTATTTTAGTTTATTTCACTAAATTTTCTACTCTAAACCACTTCAATTTATTTTTTTCTCTTCCTTTTTTCTTTCTTTTTTTTCTTTCCTTTTCTTTTCGTCTTTTAATTCACTTTTATTTTCCTACTTCAAAACAATTTTTTCTCTAAACTTTTCCTCCCTTTTCTTTTTAAAAGAATTTATCCTAAAATGTATTTATCATCTCTCCTTTTTTCCTCTTTTCCTCCTCTTTCCTTTTCTTTCCTTTTCAATATATTTCTCTCTTTTTTCTTTTCCCATATCTTTCTTTCTTTTTTTCTTTCTCTTTTCGTCATTTTTCTCAACTCGTCTCAAAGTTCTTTCTCTCCCTTTTTTTTTTCTTTAAATCTTTTCTTTGTTTCCTTTCTACTTTAATTCTTTCTTTCTTTCTTTTAAAATTTGTCTCTTCCATCTCCAATTGGCATTCAAGTTATTACTCTTTTCGTTTTCCTCTTTTCTTTTTTTCTTTCAATATATTTTTTTCTTTTTCTTTCTTTTTTCTTCTCTTTCTTTCTTTATTCTTTCTTTCTTTTAAAATATTTGTTCATTTCTCCAATTCATTTTTCCGCTCCTCATCCCCATTCTTTTCTCACCTTCAAGTTCTTTTCTCTCCTTCCTTTTTTTTTCGTTTTCCTCTTCATTCTTTTCTTTCTTTCAATATACAAGTTTTTCTCCTTTTTTTTTCCTTTCATTTCTTTTCTTTCTTTTTCTTTTCTTTCTCTTCTTTCTTTCTTTCTTTTCTTTCTTTCTTTCTTTAATGTATTTGGTCTCTTTCATTCATTTTCCGCTCTTTTTCATCCCATTTCGTCTCACCTTCAAGTTCTTTTTCTCCTTTTTCTTTTCGTTTTTCTTTCTTCATTATTTTTCTTTCATTTTTAATATTAAGTTCTCTCCTTTTTTTGTTTTTCTGCAATTTTTTCTTTCTTTCAATTTTCTTTCTTTTCTTTTTCTTTCTTTCTTTCTTTCTTTTTATTCATTTTCTTTAATGTAATTAGTCTCTTATATTCATTTTTATTTTTCCTCATTTTTCGTCTCACCTTCATTTTTTTTTCTTTCTTTCCCTTTTTCTCTCCTTTTCTCTTCTTTCTTTCTTTCTTTCTTTCTTTCTTTCTTTCTTTCTTTAATGTATTTGTCTCTTTCTATTCATTTTCGCTCCTCATCATCCCCTCATCTCTCCTTCAAGTTCTTTCGTTCTCCTTTTCTTTTTCTTTTTTCCTCTTCATTCTTTTTTTTTTTCTTTCAATTCTTTTCTTAATTCTTTTTTTCCTTTTCTTTTTTTTCTTTCTTTCTTTCTTTCTTTTTTAATCTTATTTATTCTTTTTCAAATTTCTCCTTTTTCCTCATTCCCCTTTCTTTTTCCCACCTTAAATTCTTTTTCTCTCCTTTTTATTTTTCATTTTCCCTCTTCATTCTTTTTTCTTTCTTTTAGAATATTCTTTCTTTTTTTTTTTCCTTTTCTTTCCTTTCTTTCTTTTTTTTCTTTCTTTTCTTTCTTTAATGTATTTTCTTTTTTCTATTCATTTTCCGCTCCTCATTCTTCCCTCGTCTTCCTTTTCAAGTTATTCTTTTCTTTTTTCTTTTTCTATTTTTTTTCTTCATCTTCTTTTCTTTTTTTCAATATAATTTCTCCTTTTTTCTTTTTTCCTCTTCTTTCTTTCTTTCTTTCTTTCTTTCTTTATTTTCTTTAATGTATTTTTTCTTTTCTATTCATTTCAATATCCTTTTCCCATATTTTCTCACCTTTTTTTTCAATTATTTCTCTCCTTTTCTTTTTTTCTTTTTTCCTCTTCATTCTTTTTCTTTTCCTTTCAATATACTTCTTTCCTTTTTCCTTTTCTTTTTCTTTCTTTCTTTCGTTTTCTTTCTTATTTTCTTTTTTTTTTTAATTTATTTCTTTCTCTTTCTATTCATTTTCCTTTCCTCATCTTTAATGTTCGTCTCACCTTCAAGTTATTTCTCTCCTTTTCTTTTTTCGTTTTCCTTTTCATTCTTTTCTTTCTTTCAATTTCCTTCTCTCCTTTTTCTTTTTCTTTTTTCTTTCTTTCTTTCTTTCTTTCTTTCTTTTTTTTTTTTTCTTTAAATGTATTTGTCTTTTCAAAATTCATTTAATATCCTTTTCCCGTTTTCCTTCTTTCCTATCTCCTTTTCTTTCGTTTTCCTTTTCCTTTTCCTTTATTTCTTCTTCATTTTCTTTTCTTTCTTTAAAATATTCTTTTTCTTTCTTTTTCATTTTTCTTTCTATTTCTTTTCTTTTTTCTTTTTATTATTCTTTTTTTCGTTTTCTTTAATGTTTTTTGTCTTTTTTATTCAAAGAAAAAGAATAATCTTTCTTCTTTCTTTCTTTTTTTTTCTTTTTCTCCTTTTTCATTTTTCTTTTTCCTTTTCATTTTAAAGGTTTCTTTCTTTAAACTTTTCTCCTTTTCCTTTTTCTTTCTTTTTCTTTTCTTTTTTACTTTTTTCTTAAACTTTTGTTTTCTTTTCTTTCTTAATGTATTTTTCTTTTTTCTTTTCATTTTCTTTCGCCTCTTTTTTCTGGTTTCATCCCATTGTTTAACCTTTTCTTTCTCTCCTTTTTCTTTTCGTTTTCCTCTTTTTTCTTTTTTTTTCTTTCCAATATACTTCTCTCCTTTAGCCATTTTTCTTTCTTTCTTTCTTAAAAAATTTTTTTCTTTTCTTCTTTCTTTCTTTCTTTAATGTATTTGTCTCTTTCTATTAATTTTCCGCTCCTCCTCGTCTCCCTTCGTTCTCTAATTTTCTTTCGTTTTTCATTCGTTTTCTTTCTTTCACTCCTTTTTTTTTTTCTTTTTCTTTTTCCTCTTTCTTTCTTTTTTTTTTCTTTTAAATATTCTTTTCTAAATTCTTTTTTTATTTTTTCTTTTTCTTTTCTTTCCTCTTTTTCTTTCTTTTCTTTCTTTCCTTTTCTTTCTTTCTTTCTTTCTTTCTTTTCTTTAATATTCTTTATTCAGCATTTTCCTTTTTCATTTTTTCTCTCCTCATCCCCTTTTCTTTTCACCTTCTTTTTCCTTTCTTTTTCCTTATTTTTTTCGAATTTTCCTTTTAATTATGTCTTTTCGTTTTCATTTCTTTCTTAATTATTTCTCTCCTTTTTTTTCGTTTCCTCTTTTCTTTTCTTTCTTTTTTCTTTTTTTTCTTCTTTTTCTTTTTTTTTTTCTTTCTTTTTCTTAATGTATTTGTCTCTTTTCATTTTGATTTTATAATCTCACCAAAAAAACTCGTTTTCCTTTTCTTTTCTTTTCTTCATTCTTTTTTTTTTCCTTTTCCTCTTCATTCTTTTTTTTCTTTTCCTTATTCTTTCTCCTTTTCTTCCTTTTTTTTTCTTTAATATTTTTTCTTTCTTCATTTTTTCCTTTCTTTCTTTCTTTCCTTTTTTCTTTTCCTCTTATTTTTCTTTCTTTCTTCTTCATTTTTCTTTTCATCTTCTTTTCGTTACCTTCAAGTTCTTTCTTTCTTTTTTCTTTTTCTGTTTTTCCTCTTTTTTTTTCTTTTCTTTCTTTTAAACATCCCTTTTTCTTTTTCTCTCTTTTTTTCTTTTCTTTTCTTTTCTTTCTTTCTTTTTTCTTTCTTTCTTTCTTTTTTTTTTCTTTTCATTTTATTTGTCTCTTTCTATTCATTTTCATTCTCCTCATCCCCTCTTTCTTTTCTTTCTCTTTTTTTCTCTCCTTTTTTTTCGTTTTCCTCTTCATTCTTTTTTTCTTTCAATATACTTCTCTCCTTTTTCTTTTCATTCTCTCTTCTTTTCTTTCTTTCTTTCTTTCTTTCTTTCTTTTTTCTTTCTTTCTTTCTTTCTTTAATGTATTTGTCTCTTTCTTTTCATTTTTTCTTTCTTTCTCCTCTCTCTTTTTCGTTTCACCTTCAAGTTCTTTCTTTCCTTTTCTTTTTCTATTTTTCTCCTCTTTCATTCTTTTCTTTCTTTCAATATACTTCTCTCCTTTTTCTTTTCTTTTTTCTTTCTTTTCTTTTTTTTCTTTCTTTCTTTCTTTTTTTCATTCTTTCTTTAATGTATTTGTCTCTTTCTATTCATTTTACGCTCCTCATCCCACTCGTCTCACCTTCAAGTTATTTCTCTCCTTTTCTTTTTCGTTTTCCTCTTCATTCTTTTCTTTCTTTCAATATACTTCTCTCCTTTTTTCTTTTTTTTCTTCTTTTCTTTCTTTCTTTCTTTCTTTCTTTCTTTCTTTAATGTATTTGTCTCTTTCTATTCATTTTCGTTTTCCTCATCATTCTATTCACCTTTCAGTTTTTCTCTCCTTTTCTTTTTTTCTTTTTTCCTCTTTCATTGATTTGTCTTTTCTTTCATTTTCAATATACTTTCTCCTTTTCTCTTTTCCTTTTTCTTTTCATTCTTTTCTTTTTTCTTTCTTTCTTTTCCTCTTTCTCTTTCTTTCTTTCTTTAATGTATTTGTCTCTTTCTATTTATTTTCCGCTCCTTTTCTCTGTTCTCATCCTCTCACTCTTCAAGTTATTTTTCTCTCCTTTTCTTTTTCGTTTTCCTCTTCATTCTTTTCTTTCTTTCAATATACTTCTCTCCTTTTTTCTTTTTCCTCTTCTTTTCTTTCTTTCTTTTCTTTCTTTCTTTCTTTCTTTCTTTCTTTAATGTATTTGTCTCTTTCTATTCATTTTCCGCTCCTCATCCCACTCGTCTCACCTTCAAGTTATTTCTCTCCTTTTCTTTTTCGTTTTCCTCTTCATTCTTTTCTTTCTTTCAATATACTTCTCTCCTTTTTTCTTTTTCCTCTTCTTTTCTTTCTTTCTTTCTTTCTTTTTCTTTCTTTCTTTCTTTCTTTCTTTCTTTAATGTATTTGTCTCTTTCTATTTTCTCTTCGTTTTTCGCTCCTCATCCCCTCGTCTCACCTTCAAGTTCTTTCTCTCTTTTTTTTTTTTCGTTTTCCTCTTTGTCTTTTCTTTCTTTCCAATCCTCTTCTCTCTTTTTCTTTTTTTTTTTTTTCGTTTTCTTTCTTTCTTTTCTTTTCTTTGTTTTCTTTCTTTTTTCTTTTAATGTCTTTTGTCTCTTTTTTTATTCTTTTTCATTTTCCTCTTCCCTCGTCTCACCTTTCTTTAATTATTTTCTCTTCTTTTCTTTTTCATTTTTCCTAAGTTTTTTCAATATTCTTTTTCTTTTTTCTTTTCTTTACTTCTTTTCTTTTCTCTTTTCTTTTCTTTCTTTCTTTCTTTCTTTCTTTCTTTAATGTATTTGTCTCTTTCTATTCATTTTTCCGCTCCTCATCCCACTGTCTCACCTTTCAAGTTATTTCTCTCCCTTTTTTTTTCGTTTTCCTTCTTCATTCTTTTTCTTTCTTTCAATCTTCTCTCCTTTTTCTTTTTTTTCCTCTTCTTTTCTTTCTTTCTTTCTTTCTTTTCTTTCTTTCTTTTCTTTCTTTAATGTATTTGTCTCTTTCTATTCATTTTTCCGCTCCTCATCCCACTAGTCTCACCTTCAAGTTATTTCTCCTTTTCTTTTCGTTTTTCCTCTTCATTCTTTTTTTTTCTTTCAATATACTTCTCTTTCTTTCCTTTTTTCTTTCTTTTTTCTTTCTTTCTTTTCTTTCTTTCTTTTTTCTTTCTTTTCTTTCTTTCTTTCTTTCTCCTTTTTTTCTTTTAATGTATTTTTCTCTTTCTTTTTATTTTCCTCTTCTTTTCATCCTCTTTCTCACCTTCAAGTTATTTTCTCTTTTTTCTTTTTCGTTTTCCTCTTCATTCTTTTCTTTCTTTCAATATACTTCTCTTTTCTTTCTTTTTTTTTTCTTTTCTTCTTTCTTTTTTTCTTTCTTTCTTTCTTTCTTTCTTTTTCTTTTTCTTTCTTTCATTTTTTAATGTATTTGTCTCTTTTTCTATTCATTTCCGCTCCTCATCCCTTTCGTCTCACCTTCAAGTTTCATTGTTTCTCTCCTTTTTTTTTTCGTTTTCCTCTTCATTCTTTTTCTTTCTTTCAATATACTTCTTTTTCTTTTCCTTTTCTTTCTTTCTTTCTTTCTTTCTTTCTTTCTTTCTTTCTTTCATGTATTTGTCTCTTTCTATTCATTTCCGCTCCTCATCCCCTCGTCTCACCTTCAAGTTCTTTCTCTCCTTTTCTTTTCGTTTTTCCTCTTCATTCTTTTCTTTCTTTCAATATACTTCTCTCTTTTTTTTTTCCTCTTCTTTTCTTTCTTTCTTTCTTTTTTCTTTCTTTCTTTCTTTCTTTCTTTAATGTATTTGTCTCTTTCTATTCATTTTTCCGCTCCTCATCCCCTAGTCTCACCTTTCAAGTTATTTCTCTCCTTTTCTTTTTCGTTTTTCCTCTTCATTTTTTTTCTTTCTTTCAATATACTTCTCTCCTTTTTTTCTTTTCCTCTCTTCTTTTCTTTCTTTCTTTCTTTTCTTTCTTTCTTTCTTTTTCTTTCTTTCTTTAATGTATTTGTCTCTTTCTAGTTCTTTTCATTTTCCGCTCCTCCATCCCCTCTTTTTTTCTCACCTTCAAGTTATTTCTTTCTTTTTTTTTTTTCGTTTTCCTCTTCGTTCTTTTCTTTCTTTCAATATACTTCTCTCCTTTTTTCTTTTTCCTCTTCTTTTCTTTCTTTCTTTCTTTCTTTCTTTCTTTCTTTCTTTCTTTAATGTATTTGTCTCTTTCTATTTATTTTCCGCTCCTCATCCCACTCGTCTCACCTTCAAGTTCTTTCTCTCCTTTTCTTTTTTTTTTTTCTTCATTTCTTTTCTTTTTTCAATATTCTTTCTCTTTTTTTTCTTTTTTTTCTTCTTTTCTTTTCTTTCTTTCTTTCTTTCTTTTTTCTTTCTTTCATTTTTCTTTCCTTTCTCACCTTAATGTATTTTCTCTCGTTTTTCTTCATTCATTTTCCAATATACTTCTCTCATCCTCTTTTCTTTCTTTTGTATTTGTCTCTTTTCATTTTCTCTCCTTTTCACCTTTTTCGTTTTCCTTTTTCTTCATTCATTCTTTTCTTTCTTTCAATATACTTCTTTTTTTTTTTCTTTTTCTTTTCTTTTTTCTTTTCTTTTTCTTTCTTTCTTTCTTTCTCTTCAAGTTTTTCTTTTTTTCTTTTCTTTGTCTTTTCTTTTTTATTCATTCTTTTTCTTTTTTCCTCATCCTTTCCGTCTCTTTCCTTCAAGTATTTTCTCTCCTTTTCTTTTCGTTTTTCCTCTTCATTTCTTTTCTTTTCTTTTCAATATTCTTTTCTCTCCTTTTCCTTTTCTTTTCCTCTTCTTTCTTTCTTTCTTTCTTTCTTTCTTTCTTTCTTTCTTTCTTTAATGTATTTGTCTCTTTCTATTCATTTTCCGCTCCTCATCCCACTCGTCTCACCTTCAAGTTCTTTCTCTCCTTTTCTTTTTCGTTTTCCTCTTCATTCTTTTCTTTCTTTCAATATACTTCTCTCCTTTTTCCTCTTCTTTCTTTCTTTTTCTTTCTTTCTTTTTCTTTCTTTCTTTCTTTCTTTCTTTCTTTAATGTATTTGTCTCTTTCTATTCATTTCCGCTCCTCATCCCCTCGTCTCACCTTTCTCTCTTCAAATTATCTTCTCTCCTTTTTCTTTTCCTCTTCTTTTCTTTCTTTTTTCTTTCCTTTTTTCTTTTTCATTTTTCCTCTTCATTCTTTCTTTTTTTTTCTTTCTTTTTTTCTTCTCTCTTTTCTTTTTTTTTTTTTTTCCTCTTTTTTTCTTTTTATTTTCTTTTTTCTTTCATTTTTCTTTCTCTTTTCTTTCACCTTAATGTATTTCTCTCTTTTCTATTCATTTTCCATTCTCCTCATCCCTTTTTCTTTTTTTTCTTTTCAATTTCTTTCTCTCTTTCTTTTTTCTTTTGTATTTTTCTTTCTTCATTTTTCTCTCCTTTTCCATTTTCTTTCCTTCTTTTGTTTTTTTCGTCTGATTTTAAAATGAGTTCTCTGCTTTTTTTTTTCACTTCTTTTCGCTCTTTTATTTCCTTCAACATATTTCTTTTTTGTTTTTTCATTTCCTCTTTCTAGTCTAACCAATATTTCCTTTTTTTTTTCCTCTTCTTTCGTTATTTTCTTCTTTCAATACATTTCTCTCTATTCATTTTGTATCCTTCTCCTTCATTTCTCCCTCTCCTCTAAGTTGTTTTTCTACATTTTTCTTTTTTTTTTTTCCTTTTCTTTTTTTTTCTTTCTTTTCTTTCGTTCAATATATTTAACCCCTTTTGTTTTTTCCTTTGCTTTTTCCTATTCTTTTCTTCAAAGTATTTACCACCTTTTTCTTTTTCTTCTCCTCATCCTTCTCGTTGCATTTTAAATTTATGTCCCTCCCTTTTTCTTTCTCCCCTTCTTTTCATTATTGTCTTTCCTTTAATAGATTTATCTCCCTTTTTCCTCTTTTTATCTTTCTTGTCTTCTTTCAATATACTTCTCTCCTTTTTCTTTTCTTTTGCATCTACTCTTCTCTCTCGTCTGTCCTTAAAGTTAATTCTTTCTTTTTTCTTTTCCCTCTTCTTTTCTCTCCTCTTATTTTTAATTTATTTCCTCTTCAATATATTTCTCTCCTTTTTTTTGTTCTTTTCTTTTCCTTCTCTTTTTTTCTTCTATATTTTTCTTTTTTCAATTTCCTTTTCTTTTCGTTTTAATTTCATTCTTTTTTTTTTTCTTCCTTTTTTTTCCTTTCCTTGAATTTCGTCCTTTCTTTTCTTCCTTTTTTCCTTTAATTTTTCCTTTCTATTTTCATCTTTTTTCTCTAATGTCTTAATTTCCGCTTTTCTTTTCCTAATATTTCTCCCTTTTTTTCTTTTTTCTTTTATTTCTCCGTCCCTTTTTAATTCTTTCTCCATTCTTTTTTTCTTTCCATTCTTCTTTTTCTCGTCTTTTTTCATTCAACAATCTCCTTGACCGGATTTTCGTGGAGGACATTTCCTCTCAAACATTTTTTTTTTTTCTTTTCTTTCTCATTTTTCCGACCGCTTTTTTATTTTCAACCGAAAGGGCATTCTTTTTTTTTTTCATCCTTCTTTTTTTTTTCTCCTTTTTATTCCCGAAAGGATCCCTTTGGCCTTTTTTTTCGGACATTTTGGCTTTCCAAACCACTTTTGGCCGAACGGATCTTTTTTTCGAAAGGACTTTATTTTCAATTTAACGTCTTTTATTTTCCGCCTTTTCAATTTTTTGGCCGAAGTTCTTTCCTTCGGACGTTTGGCCGAACTTCAATTGGCCTTAAAGGATATTTCCGTTTCCGACCGGACATTTTTGGCTGAACGGACATTTGGCCGAACCTGATATTTGGTTAAAAGGTGTTTTTTTAGCCGAACGGATATTTAGACCGAAAGGGTCATTTGGCCGAACGGACGTTTGGCCGAACGGACGTTTGGCCGAACGGACAACGTTTGGCTGAAAGGATATTTGGCCGAACGGACATTTTGGCTGAACGGACATTTGGCCGAACGGATATTTGGTCGAAAGGACATTTAGCCGAACGGATATTTGCCCGAAAGGGCATTTGGCCGAACGGACGTTTGGCCGAACGGACAATTGGCCGAAAGGATATTTGGCCGAACGGACAATTGGCCGAACGGACATTTGGCCGAACGGATATTTGGTCGAAAGGACATTTAGCCGAACGGATATTTGCCCGAAAGGGCATTTGGCCGAACGGACGTTTGGCCGAACGGACAATTGGCTGAAAGGATATTTGGCCGAACGGACAATTGGCCGAACGGATATTTGGCCGAACGGACATTTGGCCGACTGACATTTGGCCGATAGACATTTGACTGAACGGATATTTGGCCGACGAACATTTGGCCAAACGGATATTTGGCCGACAGACATTTCACCAAAAAAGTACAAGTAAAAATAGTAACAAGCAATACTTTAATTATTTTAATTAGCAGTTTTATACAGTAGAATAGGACTAATAATTACTAATGAATTTCAAGTAATTAAATTACTAAATCTAAATTTAAAGTTAAAAGTTTTCTTATTTCAATATTTGTTTATTGAAATTAATATTTTTAAAAATATTTGAGTGTATTTGGGTAAAGAATAGCACATAATTATTTAAATTCATATTTAACAGTAAGATAAAAGCTAGTTCATCCCTTTAAGATAATGATCATTAAAAGCAAAATTGAAAGATCTTTCATATCGTAAAAGCTTAAGATTTTTGCTGTAGTAAAATGTGCTTTTTCTCAAAATACGTATCATTATACAGTAATATTTGAAGTACTGTACTACTACTGTACTGATGCGGCATTCACCCTGGGCGGATTGAGCCGGCTTCTTCCTGCTATGAGAAGAAGATTCTTGGGATAAATTACAGAAGTAGGGTTCCCAGGCCTACTATTTGAAGTAAAATATAATATATGCAGAATAGAGTTTTAAAAAGCCTGTCAAAAAAAAAAAAAAAAAAAAAAAACCGAAAAAGTTATAAATTAATACAATAAATAAATATAAATATATGTAGCACATTACGATAAAGAGTGTGACATACATGTAAGTACGCCACTATATTTTCGGCTAAATGTCCATTCGGTTAAATGTCTGTCGGCCAAATGTCCGTTGGTCAAATGTCTGAGTACCAATAATCTTATCATTGTCCATCAGACCCAGAACCAATCGCAATGAACGGATGTCACCTCATAGGGGACCTGCGCTTTATGCGCCTTAAACTCGATCCAGACCCCAAGTGGAATTCATACATACGATCCATCGTTAAAGATGCTGGAAAAATGGTCGCTTCTCTGGATCGCTGCAGTAAGTACCTGACTCCTCCTGTTATCCTCTACATTTACAAAAGTTAGATCAAGTCGAAAATATATGGACAGGAGCTGCCCAGTTTTCATTTTTCAATCGCGATGGAGTCCAACAACGTCTCCTCTTCCTTGTGGGTGACAAATTATTTTCTCACAGAAGATACGTTGCAAGCCTCACGCTGCTTTATCGCTATTACCATAGAAAGTGCTCAGATGAACTACAGAGCTTAGTTCCACCGGTTCTATTCTTCACGGCTAAGACCCGCCATACCACGCCCATTGTAGCGTATCACCCTCATTCCCTTCGTATTCCATTGGCGTGATGTAAGTTCCACTCGAACAGCTTCTTCCAACGGACCGTTATTTTGTGAAACTGATTCCCAAGATTATGCTTTACCGATAACTACAATCTTAACCTGTTCGTGTCTAAGGTTAACCTTTTTCTTCGCAACATTTACACCTAATCTGTACCTCATACTCTGTAAGTCTCTACTAGGAGTGGCTCTCGTGCCTTCCATAGGGTGAATATCATTGTGAAAAAAAATTGTTTTCTTTTTTCTCTGATGTTTTCTTTTCATCCTACGCTTTCATTTTCAGTTTACTTCTTTTCCTCACTGTCGCTTTTCTTCATTTTCCGCCATATTGTCATTTGCTCTCCTGTCAATTCCTTTCTATTTCTTTTTTTATTTATTTTATTTTCTGTAAACCTTTCCTTTTAATTTCTCTTTTCTTACTCTCCGTTTTGTCTTTCACAATTGTACTCCTGTCTTTATTCTTAACAACTCTCTGTACTCGCTCAATCACTTCCTTGTAAAACAGTTTTTATATCTTTCTCACTTTGTAACTCTTTCATTTTCCGACCATTCGCTTTCTTTCCCTGTCTCCCTAACATCCCGAAAGAGATTCCTATCTGTCCTGTACATAAATCATAGTTGTACCTCTTGTCACCCTTTCCAAATGATAGCATCGACGGATATACGCCCAGCCTCTTTTTCAGATTTGGCTGCCATTTAGAGCTCATAATTGACATGTCATGTCTTGCATCGTCGCCATCTTGTCAATGCTTAACCCTGATATTATCAGTCCTTTTTTCTGCACATATGCCCAATTCGGTGTTGAATTTTTTTTTATTATTTTTATTTCTATTTCTGTTTTTATTGGGACTTTTCTTCTTTTGTCCGTATTTTCACTTTTTTTTAATTTCTTTTCTTTCGTTTTCTTTCATTCATTGACTCCATTTTGACATTATTTCATTGTTATACTTTCATTTTAATTCCTTCTTTCTCCGCCCCCCTCGCATAACTAATGTCTTTTAGTTTATTTCTTTCTTTCATTTGTCTCTCCTTCCATTTTTTTTCCATTAGATTTTGTAAACTATCTTTTTTTTTTGTTATGTTTCCTTCATATTCCAGTTTTCGTTTATTGTTCATTCCTGCTTTCTTTCTACCCACACCTTTTACTACCTGTTTTGTATTTCTTTCCTTTCACCTTTGTTACTTGTGCTACAGGGGGGTTGACTGTGGGAATGTTCTCTCTCCTCAAACCCGCAGAATATTATTATGAATTCCTTCTTGGTACAGCAGAGAACTTTTCATTATACAGTGGTATTTTCTTTCTTTTTCAATAATTTTAAATTCTTTCTTTCTTTCTAAAAAATTATTTCTTTTTTATGTCTGTCTTGACAATGTTTTGGATTTTTTTGAAATGAATTCCAAGAATATTATCTTTCTTTCTTCGATGATTCCCCACCAATTCCTTTATTCTTATAATCTCCATAAAATTCTTTCTTTCTTTCTTTATTTCTTTCTTTCTTTCCAAAAATTAATTCTTTCGTTTTCTTTCTTGATATTTGTTTGTTTGCTAATGAATTCCATGAAATTCTTTCTTTCTTTGTTTCTTTGTTTTTTTTTGTTTGTTTGTTTGTTTGTTTCTTTCTTTCTAAAAATTCTTTCTTTCTTTCTTTCTTTCTATCTAAAAATTCTTTCTTTCTTTTTTGATGTTTTGTAAAAATTCTTTTCTTTTTTGATAATTTCTTGGATTTTTCTTTGTGTTTGTCAATGAATTCCATGAAATTCTTTCTTTCTTTTCTTTCTTTCTTTCTTTCTTTCTTTCTTTACGATTTCTAAAAATTCTTTCTTTTCTTATTTTTGTCTTGATAATGATTTGGAATTTTTTTAATGAATTCCAAGTATATTTTCTTTCTTCGGTGAATCCTACACCCATTCTTTCTTTCTTTCTTAAGCAAGCACGGGAGACACACCTTCGTTAGATATGAAAAGATAGCAAGAGAAATTTTCAGCATAAAACATAATATTACTAAAATTACTTCTCGACAAATTTGAACAAATTTGAATATATAAGAAATGAACGGGCCTTATACGAATTAAAATGGCGTCTAAGCGGTGGACTAAATTTCACACGCATATTTTAAATAATTGGCTTAATTAAATAATTGGCTTTAAACATTTTTTGGTTTTCGGCTTATATGATGCATTCTGGAATGCCATTTTGGTAAAAACAGTTTGGACATTATTCTAGAAATACGAAAATTGGCAACAGAATCCAGATTAGATGAAATTAAAAATCCGAAAAACTCACCATGCCAAACCCTTCGGAATATTCAGATAACTTCTTTTATGTGCCGTGTCCATTCAGGATGCGGGCAGTCATACGTCTCCACAGCTTCCTGGAAACATTTTGCCTTTTACTATCCCTGCCAGTCATTGTTTTTACATCCATTTGCATAGTTGGGATATTTTCAGTTTTTCTTTCTCCCTCTTGTTTTTAATGGATTCCTGTGAGTGTTAAATTCACCGAAACGTACTTCTTCATTACGTATCAGAAAAATTTTGGCACCCATGCACTTTCGTGCCCGCAATAAGACGGAGTGTCAAAAGGACGGTTAACAAAACATCGGTTAATTGCCAATTGAATCAAACTTTATAAAATTGTAAATAATAAGGATTTCCTTAGAGTTGGTTCACATATTTTAATAAATTAGAAATTTTTTATAAATTTATGAATAAAATAAACTATTTTCACGTTTATTTCTTTAAAAATTAAATGATAAATATTGCATTGGCTATAACTGTAATTAGTTTTAACATTTTGTAAATATAAATTTCTTGTAAATAAATAATGTAATAAAAAAAAATGATGCTTAATATTTGTATTGTAAATTCTCAAGAACAAAAAACCTGTATACATTCACTTTCATCATATCTTTAGGTTTTATTCCAATTCTAATCATCGCTTTTAAATGAATAAACATTTAGGAAGAGTGAAGGCAGTTACAGAAAAGGCGGTGTCATGGGAGAATCCGTCCTTTTGACGCTATGTCTTTTTGCGAGCACGAATGTCCATGTTTGCCGAATTGTCATTATTAATATTTAAAAAGTTTTGCTTTCATCTTATTGTCCAAGGCGTCATCGTATTTGTAGGCTGCCTATTGGATCACTTCCTGGTTCTTGAGTGACTGATTAGGACAACACGGGAACGGCACACTTTCCGCGCGTAAAGGACATTCAGTGACAGTAGGGGAAGGATTCAGCGTGTCACATATGCAGCGGGTAAGATAATACGGGTCTTCAGTTTGGTACCGTTGTAGACGTTGTATCGCTTGTTTGTCCTCTCGTTCAACTACGCCACAAAATAATAGTCAAAAGGGGGTTCCAGTCAGGGGATTTAGGTGGGGCTAGATGAAGTAGGAAACGTATCTCAGTCTAACATGTTTCACTTTCATTAATGCTTCGTCATATATATATATATATATATATATATATATATATATATATATATATATATATATATATATATATATGTTATGGTCCGGTTCCTTGTACCACGGTGATAGTCCAAGGTAGAACCAATAAAGAAGAACTCGAACACAGGCATGGAATAACACAGATATATTACAAACAGGAATATATACAGAGAAGTAGAAGTGTTAGTATGAACAATCAGGTTTAGTAGACAGAACAATGTAGTCTCGACCAGTATCACTATTCCAATGTCTTTTAGTAATTGTCTGAACGCGACTCTGTTTCGGACTGCCTCTGACTCGACTCTTGACTCGACTTGAACTACTTACTCTCGCCTTCTGACTGAGGCGCAATATTTATTAAGTATGGAATAGTCCATTATTATTATTATTATTATTGGTAAGGTCCCATAACAATATATATATATGTATATATATATATATACAACTCTCTCTCTCTGTATATATATATAACTCTTTCTCTCTCTCTCTCTCTCTCTCTCTCTCTATATATATATATATATATATATATATATATATATATATATAGAGAGAGAGAGAGAGAGAGAGAGGTAGGTAAATCAAATAACTAGATATTAGCAAGTGTATATACCCGGTAGCGTGCATACAGGTAAGCAAATAAATATTTACCAAATTTACCTTAAGGTATAAACATGACAGTGCTATATGTGGTTAGACAGAGCTATAAAATATACTTTTAATATATATATATATATATATATATATATATATATATATATATATATAAATCATAAGTTATATCTTGTGCCAGAAGAGTTGGTAAACAACGAAACTTAAATCGCCCCACAAACATATGTATATGTATATTTATAATTATGTGTGTGTATATATATATATATATATATATATATATATATATATATATATATGCGTGTGTGTGTACAGGTATATCGAAAAAGATATTTCAATCCGTCCATATCTATCTATCTATCTATCTATCTATCTATCTATCTATCTAAGTACGTGGGTACTGCATAATACATCCAAGTGGAACGTATGCCAATATTTGCCCATGCCAGCCAGGCTTGTCGAATCGCAATGTGATATTGATCTGAGTCTCGTCTACTTTATCAGTCCTGTTTACACAGCAGCCGCGACATCGTCCCTCTTATCGCCTCTAAAAATACAGGCTTCCACTTAGACACGCTTTTCAGTCTCCGTTCTGCACTGACCTTTCGCCCTTCACGCTGCATTCCACTCGTTCCCTCTCGACCGGGGGATCCATTGCCTCATCTACTGAGCATCGCATTTTCATTTCAACTTCGATGCGACAAATATGGTAAAGGACGACATCACTTCAGTTTACTAATCCTCTCATCTAAACATTTTTTATGCTCATGCTTTCCTTCGATATTTCGTTGTATTCGGCTCACATCTATCTATCTATCTATCTATCTATCTATCTATCTATCTATCTATCTATCTATCTCAGTCTGTTTATAATCTATCTATCTATCTATCTATCTATCTATCTATCTATCTATCTATCTATCTATCCCAGTCATTTTATAATCTATCTATCTATCTATCTATCTATCTATCTATCTATCTATCTATCTATCTATCTATCCCAGTCAGTTTATAATCTATCTATCTATCTATCTATCTATCTATCTATCTATCTATGTCAGTCTATCATTATCTATCTATCTATCTATCTATCTATCTATCTATCTATCTATCTATCTATCTATCTTTTTACATTATCTATCTATCTATCTATCTATCTATCTATCTATCTATCTATCTATGTCAGTCTATCATTATCTATCTTTGTTCATATCTATCTATCTATCTATCTATCTATCTATCTATCTATCTATCTATCTATGTCAGTCTGTTCACTATCTATCTATCTATCTATCTATCTATCTATCTATCTCAGTCTGTTCATGATCTATCTATCTATCTATCTATCTATCTATCTATCTATCTATCTATGTCAGTCTATCATTATCTATCTATCTATCTATCTATCTATCTTTTACATTATCTATCTATCTATCTATCTATCTATCTATCTATCTTTTTACATTATCTATCTATCTATGTTCACCTCTTTCAGTTATATATATATATATATATATATATATATATATATATATATATATATATATATATATATGAATAAGTATAAAATGGTACGTGCATGAATCTCTGACGAACGGTGAGGAATAAATGTAAATTTATTTAAAGCTAAAACAGGGTTCGACAGAATTACCCCCGCCGTACACCTTCCAGAAATAGCACACGCATAATAAGCCATTATCTCAATGTCGTCACCATTGTCATAGGATTATTTGGCAGGTATTTCCGGCAGGTATATTTTGGAGGTATTTCTGCTGCAGTCTTTTCAGATATTGTGTGTCTTTTAAGGAACTAGATGATAAAAAGACAACAGGAAAAACTATTTCAATGTCTCTCAGCTCAGAGGACTAAACGCGTCGACTAAGAACAGGTTTTATTCTTGTCTTCTTGATATATATATATTATTCGGTGGAGTAATGGATAGCGGCTTGGATTGAGGAATCGCAGAGCCGAGTTCGAATTCCAGTCGAATCCATTACATTCACTTACGTGCTAATACCCTTGGGAAAGGTATGAATCCTCTTCCTCTCCCTCCAGCTATGGGTAAAATAGCAGGACAGACTGGGTTCTATAGCACTGGATGGCAACTGGTCTAGGAGAAGGACAACTCTGAATTCAAAACCTGCGGAGGGTCGTTTGGGAACCTTGTGGCATTCGGTGCACCAGGTCTCTGTATTCGTCCCTTCAAAAAGCGTGGATGGTCCTGCACGAGGCCTTCACCACTATAATCAAATCTCATGTGCCGGTGTCGGGCTGTCGGTTTCCTGGAAACTGATCTGCTTGACCCTCATACGTCGAATCTCGACGGGAGAGTCGATTATATATATATACTAGCAGTAGAGCCCGGCGTTGCCCGGGGATGTAACGGTAAGAGATAGATCAAGTATTGACTATCATAAAGACTGAAAAATAAAATTGACAAAGATTATTGTTTAAGGTTGACGGACACACATGTCTTAATTTTTTTTTTTTTTACGAATTGGTCAGACTCAAACAAAATCATTGTTTTCAATCGTTATGAGTCTACCGATTAAATAGAATTTTATTATAAACAATTGTCTTGTAAATGGAATTTTAAAAGCATTCTGAATGTAGAAATAAAGAAAAAAGTGTGCAAGACAATAAGAAACACTACCTGCCAAAAAAAAGCGAAGTTTTGTTGAAATCGGTTGAAAAATGTAGGAAATCCGATCCCATATATAAACTAACACACACACACACACACACACACAACCTAGGTTTTATAATAAGTATAACTCGATATGAGTTGTCCCCTTTCATTCTCGCGTCAGCGATGCCTGTTAATCGTGTTTTCAAATTGATTTCGTGCAAAAACAAGTGTGTTTTTCCAATTTTTGTCGGAACCACCGCAAGGTAATTTTACGTAGTCCTGTGAAGTTTTGTTGAAATCGGTTGAAAAATGTAGGAAATCCGATCCAATATATAAACGAACAGACACATATACAGACACACAACCTGGGTTTTATAATAAGTATGATATATATATATATATATATATATATATATATATATATAGGTTACATTGAAGACGAATGACAAGGAACTTCGATTAAGCTTTTTAGTATATTTTTCATACATTTTTACGGAGGGTACATGTAGATTAAAAACTATCCGAGCTTTATGTAGATCCGATCGATGTACATATATCTATATCTATAGGGTGCGATGGATACATTGCCAATGATGATTTGATAGAATAAATTTACTCTTTAGGATTTCAAGATATTTTTGCGTAAAAAATGTATAAATATATCTGTTAACATGAGATATCGGTGTTATTTTCTTTTTTACGTCATATTGACGAGAATTTATCCATCGCATCATATATATATATATATATATATATATATATATATATATATATATAAACATAAAACATTAGGCAGCATATGATTTTCTAGCGATGGATGTCGCCAATAATCGCATTAATACTTCTGATTAATTCTATGTGTGATTATTCTTTATATATATATATATATATATACTCATAGACACACATATATATATATATATATATATATATATATATATATATATATATATATATATATATATATAATTTATTACATTGGAATCGTAATCACGATCCAAATCATCAGACCTATTGAGTTCTACCTGGATTCTATGCTCTTGGGAATTATATATATATATATATATATATATATATATATATATATATATATATATATACCACCACTATTATCAACTATCTATCTATCAATCTATCTATTGAAATCTCTTCATTTTCTATCTATCTATCTATCTATCTATCTATCTATCTATGTTCATTTTCTTTCTTTCTTTCTATCTATCTATCTATCTATCTATCTATCTATCTATCTATCTATGTTCATTTCTTATCTATCTATCTATCTATCTATCTATCTATCTATCTATCTATCTATCTCTATAAATATAAGGATAGAGAGACATACACAGACTGAGAGAGTAAAACAGAAATATACAAATTACATTAGCAAACATTTTTATAAATAAACAATACACACTCCGAATGTTATGCGCCACACTTGTTTCCTCAGAAAGTACAACACATACTGTGGAAGGCAAAACACCTTTGGCCAAACTCAGTTTTTATCTCTTCCAAAGCAATGATGATGTTTTTAAGAAAATATTGTCCAGATAATCCATTATTCATCGCCTTTAATGCTAATTGGCACACCCTCACTGTCGTTACTGCTGAAACACATTATCCACTGTGATCACATCCACTGTTTGGTCGTCGTAAACGTTAAGTAATTCTCGATGAATATGAATGGATGTAGTTTTTTCGATATCAAAAATTCAATGACGCAACACAGCTTCGCACGTACTTTCATGTTAGCCGAATTTTGCCAAACAGATCTTCAACTATTATTTAGAAGAAAATTCCCTTAATCATGGTAACTGGTGGAAAGTTTCAACCCCTTTGAAATATTAGGCATCAATCTTTCATCAAATAGAACAGGCATAATTCTCAAAGTGCTTGCAGGCAATTTACTGTTAACACTAAATAAAACAAAATTCAACCGCAAAAAACATCTCTTCTCAACCCACGATACACTAAAAATATATAAACGAATATAGGTAAACTATTCATTAAAAATTATCTACAAACACCGCGCACAATCTAAAAAAAAGCGCAAACTTTTCACCAGAAATTGTAAAACTCACCGGCAATTGAAATATAAAGTGTTATTAAAATAAAACAAAATAAAAATAATTACTGGTGCACTACAAATATCCAGCACCTCCACACGAAATAGGAACTACCTACAAATCAACATAATATACAAAGCTGCTGTAAGATATTCAGAAAACAAGAAAAATATAGGATTAACAGACTATCCCTAGATCAAAGGAAGCTACTCACACAATATTCCATAACAAGTAATATGCCAATAGAGCAACCCTTTCAAAACACTTATGCAATATCAATAACTCAAGCATAAGAAAAAATAACACGGGAAATATTGAAAACAGCACTAGCTTAAAATAACAGCTTCAAGTAAATTAACCTTTACCTAGAGGAGAAAATGACAATAATCGTCTTTTCATAAAAATATAAACGCCTAAGCCAAACATAAGAGCATTTATAGACACGAAAAGAAATTCTTACTACGCTGTCTACAGCCAAACCGACTCCCAAAACTAAGCCACTAACTGTTGCTAATCTAAAACTATTAAACATTTTTCAAATGCCAAATTTTAGAACTAAAGAAAGTATGAAAACAAAATAAAGACATGAAAAGAGACATAAAATGCAATAAATAAAATAAAGAAATTCAAGGTGAAGTTTATAAATAATAGAAAGCATCAAGAAGCAGTCACTGTGTATTCATGGCCACCAAACCCACCAGATCTCCGTCCCATTGAGTACTTATGAAATATTTGGGACCATAAAGTTCGCTCAGCGGAACGTCGATCATGTTAAATTACCTGCTGTTAACACCCGGCCATCAACTCCCAGAGGATTTGTAGATCTCATGAGTGATCGTGTTTAAAATAATTTCGTGGGCAAATGGAGGAACGACA